CAGGGCATTTGGGTATTTCTGGTCGAATGCCGCAAATGTAGCATTTGTTACCAAAATTGGTATTTTAAGTCGTCAGTATCGGACCTACAAAGAGACCGGAAATGAGCGATTTGAGATGCATCCATCCAGTAAAATGTAGAACTTCAACGAGCAAAAATTGTTGAGTTTAGGAAATAGGCAGTTTTGACTTTCTTCTTCGGTAATCTTATCTCCAACATATTTGGTTGGGCGTTGGATTCACTTCCGCGGTAAGATGTGCCCACCTGATGCACCATTCACCAATTTTCGTATTGATTGCCAGTAAGATCAATCTCTGGAACCAATGTGCGGCGGGGCGGGGGGGACGAACAGGGGGGGAAGGGGGGTCGACCTTGCTCACAATAAGGAGTGTGTATCAGCTGCCAGCGCAGGTTCCCCCTCCAGCCGGCTCGCTGGAACCAACACAAGTCCGGCATATCATACCTACCTGGTGGCGGCACCGGAGACCACCCACCGGGTCTTTTCTAAAACGAAATAAAAGAACACACGGCACTACACCCAGCCCCCCTCCCCTGTGCTGGGCCCTGCTTGCCCTCCCGGGCCCATGACCGGCCTCGCCTCGGCCCTTCTCGTATCGACAATACTTTTCCCGGCTTCATCTTCCAGCCAGCTATGAGTCGAGCCAACTGCCAAGCCGCGGCGCAGACTCAAGAATTTCAACCTTCCTCCGGGATCCGCGCCCTGGTCATCCAAAATTTCACCGCCCTCCTCCCTCCCGAGTGCCCGGCATGACCTGTTCAAAGGTCATCCCAGAGTGTGCTCAAAATTACAGAGGTCTCACCACGGAGAAAAAAAAATATTCTAGCCACCCGGCACCGACAATCTAAGCGATGTAATCGGGAGGGATAAAAGTTAAGTTGGGAGGTCAACGTTACTTTTCGCGTGATGATGATTGGTGAGCAACTTATGAAGCGTAAAATTGACCGTATGATAACTGATGGATGTCGAGATTAGCACTTTCCTAGACGAGTTTTTCCAAATTAGGTTGGAGATTTCTAAACCATAAATGGGCTTTTCGATACTGGCTGAGAATGTGCGTGAAGGCATCGTTTTCAGGAGAACGAGAAAGATTTGAAATTGCTACCGGAATTTGATGGATTTCAGGAGAATCAGCCTAACTGCATTCCCCGTAGCCTAACTTCCTCGCACGTTTGATTTTTTCTTCTTTAAATACAGAAATTAACAATGCAACGTCTGGAAACTTCCTCTGAATTTTCCTTAGTATATGGGGAATAAATATACCTAAAAAAAACCGGAATTTTTCGGCGAAAAAAATTGATCAAGAGGAGAAATTAGGCACGATAAGAGTTGAGTCAATTCAATTTAAATCTGCGGAACTATTTCTCTTAAAATCTTCCGTGCTTCCACATACCTTTTTATAAAAACAAATGATAATCGAGAGTGATTGATTCGGTTCAATCGGTTTGTTCGATACGCACAATGACCGAAATTGAACAGCCTTAGCAGGATTCCGAGAAAAAGCACTCACTGCGAAAAGCACTCCTATTCCTTTGACCATTTCACATTTTGCGGGACTCCTCGGAGAAAAATATTGGAATCCATCGCTAAAATTAATGCATCCACTGGCTGGAGGCACATTTTAAGAGACCTATGGGTTACAAAAAGATTTGATAGTAACCAAACTTCCGATTTAAGCTATACATGTATTTTCTCGTGATTTAGATGTAATTTTTAATGAACTTGCCTAAGTGACTCGCGAATAACTTACGAAAATTTCCGTTTATTGAAACTTTGATAGGAACGGGGAAATTGCGATTTTCTTTACTTAATTATTCACTTTTTCTCTGTTAAAATTGGGATGACAATACTTGACGTATCAAGATAAGATAACTTTCGTCACATGGGTACGTCATTTGGCAGTCAAAGGAGCGTAACTTTATTCTAGAGGAGCAAATTGCTCCACGCCTCCACAATTTTCTGCAACGCGCTGGGTATTCGTAAAAAGGTCAAAACAACGCACTGATCAAAATGTTGTTAAATTTTTAGATCATTATAGGATGGGATGTGTGCCAAAGTCGCACCATTTCACAGAAGTGGACATATAAAAACCTTCAAACGGACAAAAAACGTTTTCTTCTCTCAGCCTCCACAATTTTTATAGGACACTTCAAAAATTTGGTCACGATCGCAGGGTCGAGTGCACTTTGCACCTCTGCCATTTCAAGGTTGCCAACTGAGTTAGAAAATTCTATTATTTGTACAGGGTACGACAGTGTGCGATTGCGACCACACTTTCGCTAATTTTCCGTGTAATCGGTTAGAAGTGCGTATCAATTAGATTTCAGGGTAAAAATACAAACTGGGGATGGAAACTTTGCGACGTTTACACACGAAACATCTCGAAAATAAAGTACAAAGGAACGATTAGACTTTTACTTAAAAATTACAAGGGAGATTTTGTGACTGGCAGCATCGCGGACGGATTTAAGACAATCTAAATGATGGCTCACTAAATGCGAACCGGTTCCACGATGGATAGTTCCACGTGATCAATCCGAAATCGTTAAAACCAGGGTAACTGGTGGTAAAGCGGCCAAACTATTTATAATGTGCCTGGTATTTCACCAAACGCTGTGAGTGTGTAGTCGAGGCTAAGACGCGATCCAAACCCATAAGACAAGAATCATTTTCTAGTTTAGATCCCTCAAAAACATTATACTATTGAAAAAAAAGACTAGAAACCAAATTTTAGAAGAGTCCTAAATAGCACCGGACTAAAGACATAATAGTCCGCGTAGAATTTTAATTTAGATTTTAATAAATCTCTGAAGATTGTACAGACAGTGTTACCGTATTTTGACTATCAGCATTTTAAGTTGCAAAACATCAAGATTGTTTTTCAGTTTCTGAGATGGAGAACAAATCAGCAACATGACGCATTGAAACTCACAATGAATTCTTCCTGAATTGCTGAGAGATATTCTAATAAAATTCCAACATTTAAGATTTCTTTAACTTTCTGATAAAATTTATAATCCCAAGTGAAAAACAAACGGGAAAGGATCTGTTCTCGGACAATCACTGCTAATTACTTGTTGCAGCATCAGGGAGGAGGAGTTTCCAACCATAATTGGACTACATTTTACAATTAGGAACTATAAATTCCGGCCCGGTTTAAAAACAATGTATGTGCCATTAGTTTCCCTATGCACATCAGTGTTTTTTCAGATGAGCCAGAATTTATAGGTCCAAATTGCAAAATGCAGTCCAATTGAGGGACCGAACGATTGGAACCTTTTAACAGAGGCAGACTGGAACCGCAACACTAGGCAGGAATAACTGTTCATCGATATAAAGACTGGCTCCTTCTAAATGTTTCATTAGAGAAGAGATAGACCAGTCTGAAATCATCCTTGATGCCTATCCCTGTCTGCTGATTAAAAAAGTCTTTGAGAAGAAGTGAAAGGAAAACTGCCGCCCTGTTAGCATAAAAGTACCTTCAGTGAATACATAGATGGTATGTTCTGTGATCAATTAAGATGAAAATATGAGAGCAAAAGGAGCTAGACAAGTTTAACATCTGATAAGGAAGTTTTGAGTAGAAACAGGAACAGTTACTAAATGGGAAGGAGTTGATCGATTTATTTGCCGGGACAAAATATTTGATTCCAATTCGAAAATCTGCATGCAAAGCCGAAGCAAAGTTCCATTTCCTTGAGATTTAAATTGGGCTTCTACTAGAAGCACTTATTAAGTAGTTAAGTGATAATTAGAGCTACTTATCTTCGAAATAACAAGGTTTTAGTAAAGGGAGAACACAATTTCAATGAAAGTGAAGGGATCTGCTCTACACATCTTAACAAGAAGCAATAAAACCGTTTCAGCAATCGGCAAAAGCATGCAGAAAAAGGCAGCTGCTTGGCCAAAATAACTATTCCTTAATGAGGTTAGTGAAACTAAGTAAGACACACGTAAACAATCCCCTCAACTAGACAAAATTTCACATATCTTCCGATGCATGTAAAGAGTAAGCATCGAGAGCTGCGGGCTTATTCAATGGCAGCTAAAACATTCGCTTCGAACATTGCTGCCATTACCATTTATTAGAGGTGCGTTGTTTCAGAGTACGCTAAGTTAAAGATGTATTGCTAGCAAACCAAAAACATTCTGAGAAACGAATCGGACGGCGCAAGAGAGGCAAAATGATCATAGATGGCAAGCCTGCTTTGAGCGATGGTCATCAATGAAAAGCCCAACAAGACATCAAGGGTTGGGAATGATAGCCGTATGCTACACTTAATATCACGTTTCCTTTGCATGCACTTCTAGCGCCATCTTGCACTCATTTGGTAGGGGGGTCAGTTTAGATGATACGAATTACAGCAATATTTATTTTTAAAAGTGCGGCATCTCAGTAGGTGGAATCAGTGGGTATGATTGTGGTCTGCTTCTCTATCACCGAACAACACAGAGATAACCTCAACAATTGTGGATTGCTGAGGGGCCACCTTTTAATACTTCAAATAAGTATGGGAAATATTTGATATCCTACAGCAAAGATAAGGGATTGGAGATGAGCAATTACTTAATTTCGTTCATAAATAAATGAAAAACAATGTGGGCTGTGGGCATGTGTGACTCTAGATGGAAACCAAGACGGTACACGCAGCACCATCTGATGGCGAAAATACGAACCACGTGCTCGCCTCTACAAGCCCCATCTTTCGAACCTCCTGGGTGGTCCGTGATCAGAAACTACAGTTTTGATGATTTTGAAGCTAATGCATCATAGGAAGCAGACAAAAATCGCATGAAATAGCTCAATCTTGCCCCTAACTTCACGAATAACAAACCTTGAAGGCTAACACTGTTGTAGGGACTAGAATATGCTCCGTCAAAGACGGACAACGGCATGATGTAGCTTCAACGTGTGCAGACACACAACCAAGATTCATATGTACATAAATGAGACTATTAATTATGAGATGTGCGTTAAATACCTTTTCAATCTGATTTAGCGCTAAGGCAGCATTCAGCCACGATGGTCTAATATAAAGGTCCGATAAATGGCGATCAAGTACCATATCGCCACTTCATCACTAGGGTTTAAACACATCCACATTTAGATAACACAAAGAAAGAAACCAAACACCAGAACGAGCATTATTTAGAATAACACGAACTAGGAAACTTCTTCGAAGTTTTAGCACGGTTTCGTGAATTAACACAGGAAAATAATAAAACTAATGCCACTTCAACTGACGCGGTGTACATTGCGTTCGCGACACTCGCACGGAAACTGACCGAATTGTTTACAGAGACCCTGTTGGTAGGCGATTCGAGCAGTAACTGTTCTCTGCTCAGCGATCTGATTGGCTGAGCAGCGAGGCTCCCCTCCACTTCCACGGGCCGCCATTCAAGTTGAAGACCACACACCGTGAGCCCGAGACGCAAACATCTCCGAGCCCACCCGTATGGAACTTTCTAATTTTACGTTGCGGATACGATACATGCAGTTTTCAAACTTTAAAATTAAACTTCTCACTAAATGCAGAAAAGACAAGGGCGTGAAGCAAGTAATAGACCACTGAATGAAATTTTCGCATGGCCTCAAACAATGGGTTCACTAATTTTTCGGTTTGAGTCTCAAGCTTGCTATCTCTCTCTAATCCCATCTCCTCTACTGCAACCGCCGCTCTCCTCCTATTCCATCCCGCTCACTCTTCTGCTATCTCTCTTCCTCCCTGAACCTGAGTCCCTTTCTTCCTCAGACTCCTTTTCCGTGCTTGAATATTTTATCTCACTCCTTTTCTTCGAGGGGAACCTGGCGCAGGAACGTCGCGTTCGTCGGCTACTGGTTTTTATTTCAAGCGCACTTCACTTTGCGTCTTGACAGTCGGTGTTTCTTGTTCATGTTTCCTTAAATTATGCATTTAATTTGCACGCCTCCATCTCCTCCCTGCTTCAGCCGTCATCCGTCCGATTTTCACTCTGCGCCAAAAGAACAGCAATGGTCTTTCCCGTTCTTAGGGCGTTTCCAGATCAAAAGGGAGCGGACTTGTTATCAAATCGCACTTGAGGGTGGAGGGTAGCTAAATCTCCCCCCAGACGTCACTATTGAGAGGAGGAGGAAGAATGTGGCTCAGCGTTACATAACCTTTCCAACCCTCTCAAAAAGTATAATGCAAGTTAAAAATGTAATCATCTCGTATTTCTCAGTTTTTCATTGGAGTGCGAAGCAAAACGCCCCAGATTTGGACGTATTTATATCAAACAGAACTCTATGCATTATGACGTGAGCCCTGTTATGCACATATTCTTATGGGTCTCAGAACTCATGTCTCAATGCACATAGTTTCGTTTGATAGAAATACGTCCATTTCATTCAATTCGCTCTGAAATTAATTCTGTTTTCGGGGAAAAATAAGGGAGCATAGACGGAAGTAGGAACTTTTTTTTGGGGGGGGGGGCAGATGGGCACCTTATCAAGGGGGTCTGGGGGCACTAAAAGACACCTTATCAAGAGGGAACCTGCGGGACTCCGCCAGCTTCTAATAAGGGTTGACCGCGGTCCTTACCAGGAAAGTTTTGAAAAATCGAGTCGTCTCAGGAGCAATTTGAGCCGTCCTCACCACGTAAACGGTGTAATTAAAATTTCAAAACGCACATTTTTTTCACGTAGAGCACTTGCTCAGCTAAATCCCTCGCATTGGGATGCCTC